CACACACACACACACACACACACACACACACACACACACACACACACACACACACACACACACACACACACACACACACACACCGCGCGCGAACAAGTCCTTGTCAGATGCTGCAGCAGCAATCGCACCTTCGTTAGTCAGCAGCGCTCAGAGTAGATGTCTGCATCCTCAGTTCATTCCCCGCGGTCGAAGCCAATCGCTTCCGACCATACGGGTCGGTATTCCGTGCGACAGTACACCGGACCCGTCCTAGCGACCTGTCGCGAGGCCTCTCAGTTGTGTTGAAACGACTCCTCCTAAGACATTTTCCTCATTTATCGTCTCTTTAAAAAGTCACAGCAGAACTTTTAGGTCTCTTCTTTTACTGGCCACTCAGTGCGTATTCCTCTTCTTCACCCCCCACCCCACCCTGCACGCCATTTAATCTTTCTCGAGACAGTTGTCAGCTGTCAGACTCAGGGCAGTTTGGCAATGCAAGACTGGTCTGTTCAGGCACAGGGTCACAAGTGGCTAGTTGATACTGAACTATTCTAAAGCCAGCTTGTCGGTGAGAGAGAGGGAGAGTGGGGTTCATTCACCACGTCATCTTCACTACCGGGGAGGAGAAACGGATTTCACTGCCTCAGTCAACCAATGGCGAGCCTCCGCCCCTTGCTCTGGCCCCGTCTGCAGGCTCTGTTTACTTCACTTTTATGTCAGTGGGTCTGCTAAGTAGATATGCTGGCATACACAGATGCGCGCGCGCGGTTTACGTTCACGCGTGCAGAAACCACTCCAAAGTCAAGAATACAGCGATGCTGATCCAGTTCTTGTTTCTGTTATCAAGAGTAAGGCTGCAATATGCAGACGAGATAGCCCAAACTCTATGGACCATATATGCATTTTAATTCACTATTTAGACTGCTGATGCATTTAAAACGTATTTAAGGAAACATGTCAGCAGTGACAGCACGCTGAAAGTCTCTGCTGCTGACATCAGATTAAGAGGCCTCTACTATTCTTTAATATGCTTTGGGGGTGTACGAGACTAGCTTCATAGGTCCTGTTTATAAAAATAATAATAATAATTTTGAACATGATTGGTGTTCATGTTCATACTAGTTTTAATTCAGTTACGCAGCTATTATAGTGAATCTAGACGAGTTAAAGTATCTTTCATCTCCTTTGAATTCAAATCTATTCCAACACTCAGCAACACTAAGCGTTCGGGAGTACCTGCTTACAGCCTATATTTCTGACAGAGCTCTGACAGAGTTGTGTATTCGTAGTTTTATAATACGACGCAGCGCATGCTTCGGCTAACGAAGCAGCGGTCCGCATCTCCACATATGCATATAAATCTCAACATTACAGTTTTGTGTAGGTTTTATTCAGGTCTAGATTTATTAAAGCAGGAAACATTGCACCCACATTTTGGTTGCAAGTGTTTAAAAAGTTCAGTCCTCACTGCTTACTGAAAATGTATTTATTTATATATTTATTTCTTTATTACGCAAATAACCGTTTTTTTTAGCGTATATGAATAAAACGTTAAAGCGATATAGTTAAATTTAAACACACTGAAATGCATTTAAGTTCATATTTTTTCAGATCTATAATTAAAGAAATTCATTTCGTTTACCGAACCACTGAAGGTCTCAATATTATTATTATTAATTAAGTAAGTAATTAATTAATTAACAGTAATCTCTGAATGTATCTCATTGTAAACAAACAGCCGGTAAAATATCAGGGCGAGGTGACTGACTGGACCCAAAGACGCGGCCTTTCCCAAAGAATACAAATGGAAAGATCAATAAAAAACAAACTTTTTTGGTTGTGAGTTGGGCTCTAAGAGGTCCACATCTTTCTTAATTCTCTTTATTTGCCAGCGAAGTTCAGAGTCATCAATGAATCTGAACTTCGCTGCCGTTCATCAATCATTTAAAGAAAACGCTATATACAACATCTGAATATGTACACGCAATTTACCGCAATTTTTTAAATAGTTATTTATTTATTTACTTTATCTGAAGAGAGACCGTGGGGGTGGGGGCTTTGTGTGTGCGTTCAGTACTCCAGGCTGTGGAAACGCGTGAAATAAACACCTGAAATAAAATGAACTGGTTAACTGGGTGGGGCTACTGTCAAATGATTAATTTAAAATACTTGGAAAATCTTGCTGGCAATATAAATTTGGAAGCAACTTGAGATAATTGTAAGATTGTAACTGTAAGATCTCTAACAACATTTTCAAGACCTGCAGCATCTCACTCAAGGACTGTGATGCAGACACATACACATCGTTGAAATCCACTGACTTCATGCGTGTGTGCCTGAATGCTTAAACGTTAACCTCCACTAGACCACTACTTACTTAGTTGAAGTAAGGTCGTTGTTAATGATTTCTGGCGCTGTAAAATGAAATGTTTTGGGGTCCCAGCAACACAGTAAGAAAATAGCAGCGGCACTGCGCAGCAGCATGTTGCAGTGAAGGTCTTTTCCTTCTTTGTGACCATAAAGTAAACAGACACAAGAAGGAAACGAACTGTGTGTGTCTAATATGCATATAACACACTAGCACACTCTTTTTTTGACAGTCGCGATTCGATACTGTTGCTCAGGTTCATTTCACGAGTGTGAACAATGGCTGTGAAATTAGGAGTTGCCCATGCTTGCTTCTTGGCAACCTCATAAAATGGAAAACGCTGAGTTGTGACAATAACTTTCCTTATTTAACCCAAACTATGACCTTTCATAAATGTAACTAAGCAGTTGAACCAATGAGCCTGAGAAAACTAAATTCCATTTGAGAAAAACATAAAAACGATGACACATTTAAAGAGGTTTTAAAAATAGAATTTCTAAAAACACAGCTATTGCTCCATTGATTTGACTTTCATGGAGGTAATTCCATCTATATGACACTTTAAGGGCAAGTTTGTAGTTTATTTCAAGGTTCAGTAAGTTTTGCTTATCAGTTTAGCGTTTTATAGTTTTTATTAGTTTCTTTGTAAAGCCAGTCATTTACAGTCTAGCATAACTTTTCATTTCCCCAACTCTCTACAACAGCGTTGGAGAGAAAGCCATACAGGATCAAAATGATGTGTTCTGGTGACAGAGACGAGGTTTTAGAGGCTAAACAGGAATCAGTGTTGGCGATGGGGCTATAAGACTGGACAACTTGGGAAACACTGTAATATGTTTGCTGTAGTCTTTCCTGTCAGCAGCGTAGCAACAGGTGTGCCATTTGGTATGTGAAATGGAGTGTTACAATGTTTCCAGTCTTACTGTGCAAATGAGTGAAAGTGCAAATGTTGTATGAAGGATTTGATCGTTTGATTCTGATTATATGAAACTATTATTAATGGTAACAAAAGTGTAATTTTATGAAAAGATACTTCAGACTAATGTCTGCTTCAGAGTAAAAGATCTTTGCCAACGGTTGTATCTCTGCTAGACTGTGCAGAAGACAGAGTTAAGGAGAAAATGGGGGTTGCAGAATGTGCAGAGGAATTCTCTGTGAGGAAGGCATATGATTTATATTTGTTTAAGTGCTGAATGGAGCTGATTCTATGTGTGTGCGTGTGTGCGTGAGTGTGTGTGTGTGCATCGTCCTGCTCTGTGTAATCCATCTATGTGAATGGGAGCTGTTGCAGTAATTTAGATCAGTTTGTCTCCTGATAATGATACATAATTAGACTGTAGGTCAGTCGGTCAGACTCCTGATCTCTCCCTCTCTATACATCCTTCTCTCTCTCTCTCTCTTTCACACACAGACACATGCAACCATGCACACATGCACACATCTATCCCCCTATATGCCCTCTTCTCTGATCTTAGTCATTCCTCCTTTGTATAAATAAATCTGACAGAGTAGCAGGGTTATGTGTCTGTGTGTGAAAGAAAGAGAGCGAGGTGGAGGCAGGGAGGGGGAAGGGGCAGAGAGGAAGACGGAGAGAGAGTAAAGCTATGTGTGTGTGTCAGGCTGATGATGTGCAGGTACATTCCAGAGCAGCGGAAGTTCCTTTTCAGAGTAAAGTGTTGTTGTTACCTGGGCTCACACCTACATGCAGTTCTGTAGGTAACCGTGTGCTGAGCTTTGCACAGATGAATATAATGTTGCGGTACAACAACATGAATTCTCATTTAAAATTAATAGGACAAAAATGCAAATTTCATAACAAGACAGACTCACACAGCTGCTAATGAAAATAAAGACATCTTTATTTAATCAAGATATATTTAGATGCATATTTTAGATGTGATTTTCTAAAATCTTAGCTGTGTAACAATACATTTTCAAATTATTGTTAATATGATTAAAACTGGCTTAAAGCTTTAACTTGACAGACTGACCAAAAATATTGTATATTGTATTATTTTTTTATTTTTTAGCCACAGTTAACTTTTCAGCATCTCTTGGACAATCAAGCAAAGGCCTTTTTTGGAGACAAGGAGACTATTTCTTAATTCTTCAGTGGTCTGATGATTTAAAGTATTTACATTTGAAACCCAAAACATCCAGATTCACTCTCAGTGCCAGTGAAACAGACCCTCCTTAAGGTGCAACAAATAAACAAGTCCACGCGAGAACATTCAACCAAACAAGGATTATGCTTTTTAAGAGGTTGACACACTGTTGAAGTGGACCATAAAGAGAAGACTTCACGCAGAAAGTCCTCCCCATGTTGTCAGCGCCATAGAGAACAAAGAGATGGTTAATCTAAAGGATTACAGGTTTTGTAAAACTGCACAGGTTGAAACTGTGAAAAGGACGTGATATGAAAACAGAGCAGGGGCATTCTCAGTCATGTGAGAAAACAGCAAAAAACATCATGATACACTTTTTATGTACACTCACATGGTCAATAAATAAATAAATAAATAACAGGGTCTTGTTTGATAGGTAGGCAGAGATGCAAATCACCACATCAATAGATTGATAATAATCACTGACATATGTGTAACCTTTGTCTCCCTGTATCTTTAAAA